GGTGACATGGGGCCAGGAGGGACCGCAGGGGCCGGCAGAGGTGACATGGGGCCAGGAGGGACCGCAGGGGCCGGCAGCGGTGACATGGGGCCAGGAGGGACCGCAGGGGCCGGCAGAGGTGACATGGGGCCAGGAGGGACCGCAGGGGCCGGCAGAGGTGACATGGGGCCAGGAGGGACCGCAGGGGCCGGCAGCGGTGCCACGGGGCCAGAAAGGACCTCAGGCGCTGGCAGCGCTGCCGGGGGGCTGGGAATGCCCAAAGTGGCCTGTGGGGCTGGGCCAGGCGAGGCCGCTGGGCCTGGCAGAGCTGATCTGGGACCGGAAGCAGCTGCTGGGGCTGGCGGTGCTGACTGGGGCCCAGAAGTGACCTCCGGGGCCGGCAGGGCCGTCTCAGACCCAGAAGTGACCGCTGGGGCTGGCTGCGCGGAGCTGGGGGTGGCCGCTGGGGCTGGCAGGACTGCCCGGGGTCCGGGGATGCCCGACGGGGCTGGCAGCGCTGACACGGGGCTGGGAGGGGCCCCTGGGGCTGGCTGGGCTGGCTGGGCTGGTGCTGCTGCTGGTGCTGGGCCGGGCCGTTCTGGTGCCAGGGGTTGACTGGGAGCGGCCCCCCTTCTGGGGAGCACACCTGCATGGAAGAAAGAGCACGTGTCCACCTGGGCAGGGGCCTGCAGACCCCCCTCCAGCCCGGGCCCCGGAGACATGCTGCTCCCGCCAGGGCCCAGTTCCCAAGGAGCTCAAAGTGGAGCCTGGAACTCTGAGAAGAGCCCCTCCGAAGGAAGGCGCAGATCCGGGCCCCAGCAGGAACGCAACTGCGGCTGAGCTGTGGGCCAGGACAGACCCACGCTCGGGCTGCCCTGGCCCAGCTTCCACCGGCTCTAACAGCACCTCCTCGTCTTTAGGCAGAAAGGCCGTGGGGCCAGCATCCCTGCTTCCCGGTCCTTCCTTGCATCTGCACCATCAAGCACAGTGCTGTGGCTGGCACTCCCCACCCCACGCCACAGTCTGGCAGACGGCGTTGTGTGCACAGCAAGTGAGCGCGCAGTGGTGTGCCTGGTCCCCAGCTCATCACAGACACTGGACACCAGGGTCGGCGGAGCCTGACAGACGCAGCAGCGGGAAACGGGGCCGGCCTACCAGCTTGCCACTGGCCCCCCCGCCGGCCCTGTGATCCTGAGGCCCTGGACAGGCCTGCACCTCTGTGAAGCAGCCCAGCCTGCCTGTCTGCCTGAACCCATCACATGTGCCCCATACCCTGTGCCCAGCAACAATGGAGCACGTTGCCAGCAGGCATGGGTGCTGTGGCTGGTGTCCAGGTGCTGGTGCGGGCCCAGGGCAGACCCTGCTGCTCACCTGCTTGGAGGGCTGTAGTGGGACCTTTCTGGCCCCTCCGTCACAGGCAGGCTCCAGGTCCTGCCCAGGGCTACCAGCTTCCAGGGGCTGCCTGCTCACACTGGGCTCTGAGGATGGGCAGTTTTCCGACTCCCGGGGCTTCTTGAGACGACGTTCCCATTTCTCCTTCCGCTCATGTGGCTTCAGGGCCATATCCTTCTGCAGGGAGAAAAGTGAAAGGCTATCAACAGATGGAGACACCCCGATGGAAGACACCCTTCTTGAGAGGGTTGGCCCTTGGCTGAAGACACTGCCTACCTGGAGGTGGTGCCCCCTGGGCAGGCTCACAGGCTGCGGTCAATCACACCCTAGAGGAAAGAGCCTTCATCCTGGGAAGGCCCCATCTCAGGGGGCATGGACAGGGAAGGTGGCTGGTGAGGGGAGGGCCATCATCACTGGGGAGTGGGGATGAGACAGCTCCTGGGGCCCCAGGAACATGGCATGGGCTGAATCTTAGCCTAGTGTAGAGGCTCACACAAGCTACAGCAGAAAGGAGGCATGAAGCTTTCTGGGCTGCCCCTCGGAGCCCTGCAGGACCAGGGCTACTTTCAATACCACACCATGACCTGGGGGCAGGGACTGCAGCAGCCTCACCCAGGTGACACCATCCACAGAAGTAACCCCAGTTACTCCATTCCCACAGAAACCACCCCCACCTTGATGACCTTCACGTGAGCAGCAAGTAATCCCCAAGCAACACCTCATTCCCATAGGAAGTGACCCTCCAGGTGACACCTCACAGCCCAGAGGAAGTCCCCTCTGACGACCTCATCCTCCAGGAAGTGCCCCTAAGTGACAGCCCACATCCCGCAGCTATGGGTTTGGGAGGGAGACCTTTGCCATGATTATACTTGGGGCTATCAGACCGAGGTCAGCCCACAGGCCACCTGTGATCTTGCTGGCCTTTCCTGGGGCACCTCGTCAGCAGCCCACCTTCAGTCCTCCAGGGTACCAGCTCATTTGAGCCCATGAAACATCCCAGCCCCCTGCCCTGCTTGTGGGTACTGGCAGTTCCTGGCTCTGGGGTTCCCTACTTCTGTATTCCGTATCCAGCAGTGGGCCAGGTATGGCAGTACACACCCATAACCCCAGCACTATGGGAGGCTGAGACAGAAAGGATCACAAGTTTGACCCCAGTCTGGACAACTTTGGGAAACCCTGTCTCAAAATTTAAAAAAGTGGGGTGAGGATATGGTTGAGTGTGGGGGAAAAAACCCAAAAGAGAATGAAAGAATGAAAAACACAGCAGTGGGGCTGCAGGAACCCGTGTCCAGTGCAGGAGGAACAGATGTGACACAGTTCAGACTCCCCAGAGGGCACCAGCCAGTGGGAGTCTGAGGAGGGACAGGCAGGGCCAGCCAGCCTCCCCTCAGCGAGCAGCTGGTACAAAGGCCCAGAGACAGCAAGGAGCCAAGTTTCCTGCCCTGCCTGTCCTCTCGAGGGCACTCTGCAGATCCTGCCCCACCCAGACAGTGTGAGGCTTCGAGAGACCAACAGCACTGTGGTCCCATGTTCCCACGGGGCAGGGCCTGTTGCCCTTGGACTCTGAGCTCTGACCAGGGGGGTCCGTGCCTTCCAGCACGCCTTGCTGCATGCTCTGCTACCCCTGACCTAACATGGAGCTATGGGGCCTCGCTGCTAGTGGCCCTGTCCACCTGGCTCACCAGGGCTGACTTGTGGTGGGGACCAGCTCTGCACAGGGGTGTCATATGCTGCTACGGTGAACATAGCTGCTTGAGAGGCACGTGATCAAGTGTGCATAAATCCAGGGGTCAACACTCATGAACCAGGTCCTACAAGGCTGCCCACCAGACCCCGGCTGGGTCAGCCTGTCTCCTTCACATGTAGATGCAGGGAGCAGGTGGGTCATGCCCAGGGCCTGCCCCGTTCCCCTTCACCACTGTCCACACATGACTGCAAAGATGCCTGTGCCAACAGTGCATGGTTTGAATCTAACACATTTTCTGTAAACCTGTTTTGACACTTCACTGCTTTTAAAGAAATGAACAGATTGCCACCACCACCCTGCCCATCCCTGACCTGCCCCAAAGAGAGCAGCTGCCCAGGTCCCTGTCCTCAGGTCTCCTGGACCTGGTGTCTGTCCCTGGTCCCAGTTCTGAGCCTCTTGCCTGGTACAACCCGAGGCCCTGTAGCAACACTGCGCAGCCCTCCAGGAGCCCTGACTGCACCCAACACAGCCACCTGGCCACCAGGAGGGCAGGTTCTGGGAGCTGCAGGCCACCTTGTGGAGTCAGCATGCAAGCTTAGCATACAGCCCCTCTCCAGCCAGGCCCTGCAGCAGTGGGGCCATCGGTGACCTCTCCTTTCATAGCCCTGGGCCAGCAGCCCGTTCACATAGGGTTCCACAGCATGGGGGCACTGACAACAGAGTGAACTAGAGCCCCCAGGTGGGAGCCTAGAGCGAACAGTAAGCTCTGTGCGCACTACCAGCACCAGACGGGCAACAGGACTCTGCCCATCCAGCCCACACACAGTCCCAGGACGGCGGCTGTGAGTGCTCAGTGCTGAGTACAGTCGACCTCGATGACAATCTGAAGTCTGCATCCTCAGGCCCCACCCATCTCAAGAGGTCACTGCAAGGACGCCCAGGGCCAGGAAAGCCTGGGGAGAGAAAGGACAGGGCGCGGGAGCCTCTACGGGTTTGCTTGTGTCACACACCAGGGTCACTAACCAGGTCCCACTCACAGGGCCCTACACAGGCCACAGCCCCACAGCGACGCCTGGCAAGGGCAGGCCTCCAGACTTCTGACCCCTCCCAGGTGCAGCGCCACATGGGCACATGCTGCCGTGAAACCACCCATTAGATTTCCCTACATGGCTTCACAGGACTGCTTTTCAGCTCTCCTAAATGTTACTGCGATGCAGCACCAATAAAATTTCTAACTGCGCTATAGCAAAGCAATCCCGGAGAGAGAAAAGTAGATGTGACCTAGCAAACTCAGTCTGGGTGCCCTTTCCTGGGCAAGGGTGCTGGTCCCCACTCTGGCCCAGTCGCTCAGCCCAGCCCTCTGGCCAGGCGGGTGCCCTTCACTTCCAGAACCACACGGGGGTCCCCTCTGGTCACCAAGCCCAAGGCTGCACCCTGGAGGGCAGGAAGGCCTGGCGAAGGACAGCCCACTCCAGCTACAACCACAGCACCCACCGGCACGGCTGGGCTTGCGGCCAGGGCTCCTCCTAGAAGGGACAGGAAGCTGCGCAGAGGCGGAGGCACCGTCTCTGCCACTCCCAGCTTCCAAGCCTCAGCCCCCACCCTCACATCCTTGACCGTCTCCACCGAGCCCACAGTTCTCCCTGCCCAGCCCCATCGACCCCGAGTCCCTTGCAGTGTCTTCTGAGACCTGTCCACAGCTGCCCGAGAGCAGCTGCGTGCTGTCCCCCACCCTGGCGCCCAGAGCTCACAGTTCACACATTCTCTGGGGCACAGTCGGCCCCACCAGCAGGATCCCATGGGCCACACCCGAACAGGGAGACCCCTGCGGGCAAACCCTGGTGTGGAGGTGGTGTCCAAGCACCCTGCAGCTCAGGCTGGACGGACAGGCTCTCCTAGCGCACTCCCGCCCAGCAGCAATGGCCCTTCCAGTGGTTTCTTCTCATGTGCACCCTGCGTCTTGTGGAGCCCACATCAGGTGCACCTGAGGGAAGTGTCCTCCAGGCTTTGCCAGCCCTCACTGCCCCAGGAGCCTCTGGGTCGTGCCTGGCTGTATTCCCAGGCCCTGAGTCCTCCTGCTGGCAGGGCACTCTCTGTACCACCTGCCATGTGCTGGCCTCAGACTTTCAGGGGGCCCTCACGCTGCATCTGTGCTGGGTCAGGAGTAGGGAACAGCACCAAAAGGCCCAAGTGTTCAGCTGGCCCACCTGTGCAAACAGGCACCTCTGCACACTGCCACAGGGTTCTGTGAGAAGACCTGCACCGTGCCTGGCACTGTCATGGCACAGAGGTCACCTAGAGACAAAGCCCCATCCTGTGGCTGGACAAGGGGCTAATGGTGAAAGGCATTGGTGAAAACAGCAGTGTTGCCCCGGGAGGGACACAGCAGACAAGAGGACAGGAAGGGGACAAAAGGGGCAGCGCAGGGCTACCTGCCTACCGCCACGACCCTGGCTGACTGCTGACTGCATCAGGCCCACACCACTGGCTAGCAGTCCTGAGGAGTCTCCACACACACCCAGAACCTAGCTGGTGTTCTCTCCCTTCAAGTTCCAATCTGCTGAACCATCCATTGCAGAAGACAGTCAGATGGGGCTGTGGCCTTGCTCTTCCATGCCAGCACCATCTTTCAACAGGCTTCTCTGGATGGCTGTGAGCACCATGGGCCCAGGGCCAGGCACAACAGGAGCTGGCCCAGGGCAGCAGCTGCCAGGAAGGTGGTGCCGGTGGGTGGGAGCCAGGCCCACTCCCTGTGGGATGCCCTGGGGCAGGCCCATCAGGTGGCATCACACAGCCCACATGGATGTCGGCTCTGGGTGACCTGTGTACATGTGAGTGCTTCCACAGCTGAGGAGGAGAAAGAGCCAAGGGTACGACATTTAGATGAAGGCTGTGACTGGGAGCCAGGTGGTGGACTCCAGCCGGGCAAGGCTGTCCCAGAGAAGCACGGGGTCACACAGTCTGTGCCAGCTGAGACCAAGTGGGTGGCGGAGGAAGACCTCCAAGACAGGCCCAGACCCCCGCAGATGGCTGGGGCTGGCTCCACGGCACCCAGGAGACAGGGCACACGGGTCCCTTGGTGACCTCCTGTGAGGCCAGTGCTGCTGAGAGACAGTCCCCTGGCCTTGAGCCCATCTGCCCCCAGAAGAGGCTCTTCCTTCCCCTGCCTGCGGGTTCCATGAGGGAGCCAGGCCCGGGTTGATTTCGTTCCCACCTCAGCACAGCTGCTGCTCAGCTGTCACCCAGGTTGGGCCACTGGAGCCAGTCAAGGTCACTGAAGCCACAGGCCTGCTGTGGGAGAGGCTTTGGACACCTGGTCTTGCAGGACCCAGGACCGGCCCGTGTGGGCTAGGGGTCAGCTCAGCAGGGGAGAAGAAAAAAAAGGGGTGAGAGGTGCCGAGGGGCCAAGAGCTCCTGAGCATGCCCACCAGAGGACCCTTGACCCAGAACAAGGGAGCAGGTGCACCGAGGAAACTGAGGCCCAGAGTGG